CAGGGGCGTGTCTTAGAGAGAGGCTTTTATACCAGAACACAGCCGCTGAGACGAAACCGTGGAGAAGACACGTCACAGTGGAGAGCCGTTAACCAATATGCAAATTAGCCTGTAGTACCACTGCTCTACCCATATGCGCAGCAAAAACACGTTTTTAGACCAAATATACAGATTTGAACAAATACGCACAAAAACATCAAAATTAGCACAGAAACAGTACTACACAACATTTTAGACACATTCTAGACAGTTTATCAGCTAAAAAAGGTTAATTTTGGGGTAAGTTACTCTTTAAAAATGAAAGGCTTGCCAGTCCTTGAATGAATGCATATCATCCACCACCTTTCACACCAGAGATGTTAAAATCATCTTATGTTGAGAACGGATGGAGTTGTAGCCATTTTGATCTCACATCTAAAATGTTTTATACTATCTCATGCAATACTGCCACATCTCAAGACATGTTCTAGTGCTCAGAGTGTGTTGTGATGGACTCCAGTATCTGTCAAATTGACTGACTTGTTGTCATTTCTCTGTTGGCTGATGTTGATCAGCTGTAGATGAACATCCAATAATTGTGTTTTTGAGTTGTTGTTTTTTTACTTTGTTCAGAAGATGCTGAGATATTTTGAAATTAGACAGATAGTTTCACTGTTGGCAGTGGGCAAAAACAAAGTGTGTGTGTGTGTGTGTCTGTGTTTGTACCGTTCTGCAGCGTGTTGACGTCCTCCTCCCTCAGCGTTAATTTGTTGCTGACAGTGGACAGTTCCTGCTGTGAGTTTTTCAGAGCTTTACTCAGCTCTCCAACCTGACATCAGGGGCAGACAAATGGTTTTGTTTTACTTATAATAAAAAGCTCACTTTGCAGAATTAGACCCAGCTCTGAAGTGACCTTCTATTTTAAACTGAGTGAGAATTTAAAGGACCAGTACGCTGATGTACATGTAGAGTCATGAAAACAAAAATATTGTTAAATGTTATTAATTAACTAAACTTTCACCAAAATCCAAAACATAAGTGAAAAACTTAATAGACCTTCACTGTTTCATGTGAACTAGCAGGATAAAGATCTAACTAGAATAGTTGGAGAAATTATGAAAGGACTTGTTACATGCTGTTCAATTTAATTAAAGATTAGACTTTACTGTTTGTTGCAGATCATTTATCTACTACCATCCCAAATTTGAGGCAAATGTGTCTAAAACTGGCTGAGTTATGGTCAATTTTAGGTATGGCGGACATCTTGAATTTTTGATTTGGCTTCAGTATTGATGACGATGATTCTTAGATGCCACCACACCAAATTTTGGTCCAAAATGTTTTACAATGGCAGAGTTATTGCATTTTCAAATTAGCTCTTGTGGCCATCTTGAATTTTTATTTAACATTCAGAATTTGTCAAAGTTGTTCATGGCTACTACTATGTAGTTCCAGCTCTGTAAATGGCTGAACTATAGTTTTGTTTTTTTCTTTTAATTAGCATCAGCAATTAGCTTAAACTTGTGATTTGCATTCAGAATGTATTGATAGATCTCAGCTACAAACTCACCAAATATCAGCTTTTGTGTGTCTTAAAGGGATCCATGATTAGTTATTATGACCCCCGCACGTGAAGCATAAGCGGGAGTCATAATGTTTTCGTACTGTTTATTTATTTATTTATTTTTTCAGTGATTTTTGGTCAACCGTAGCACAAAAATGGCTGCACCG